CGAGAGATGTCAGTCTGATGTCCGATTTAAAAATAGATGGAAATGCCAACCCAACAGAAAACCATGATCGAAGGGAAGTGAGAATTATTCATAAAGTATGATATATATCTCAGTACAACACCCAGTACAAATTTAAACTAATTTAAAAAAGTAAAAAAAAGTCAATCACCTGCAAAAACAAAACAGGTCAGAGGTCACGTGCAGGCTCTGGAGTGTGACTGTGGGCACATGACTTCGGTGCCTATTTATCAATCCTGCTTTGATTATTTATTAATCTAATAATTGCGAATTTGTCAAGGTGAATTTATATTTTATGATTTGGAGAGATCATATTTTGAATAACATTCTTTCTTTAATTCACTGTACTTTAGCGGCTGTCTAAGATAGTACAAAAACTGGTATATTTCTTAAAAAAGGGTTGATCAAAATAAAAAAACAGTGATTGAAGAAAACACTATTTTTGTTCAGAGTAACCCTTCCTTTACTGGCTCCCCTCATTCATAAAAACAACATGAAAAAAAAGAATATTGCTAAAACTAACCTCGGTTCCATGGCTCTCCAAGTTCTCTCTGCAGCCCAATTTTCCTCTGTTGATGTCACTTACCATCACAGGAGGACAGGTTGAGTGGAGGACATGGGGGCACTTAAGCAGTGTTCATGTCACCATTGGCTGCCTGGTGCCATAATGCCAGATTTGCACATAATTCACATTAGGAAGCTGAGAACTATTGTGAGGCAGCACCCCACCTCTCTTTTGGAAAATGTGAATAGCAATTATCAATTAAAAACACAGACATGGGGAGACTAATAGTGCAATATGTCTATGTAAGTGATATGAAGCAACAACATGAAACGGTTGTGAAGCAACTACAAAAGCAGACACATTTAAAAAAAGAAGAAAGTGGTTTTATTCTAAAATGGATACATTCAATAGTAACAAACAATTATTTCTGGTTTAATGGAGACTTTTATCTCCAAATCTGTGGTATGGCAATGGGAACCAGGTATGCACCCAGTGTAATGTATTGGGAACAGTCAAATGTCATCCAAGAACATGACTGGGTGCAGAACCTGGTTGTCTATCGCCATTACATGGATGATTTGTTTCTAATTTGGAAGTGTTCCAAAAATGATTAAAAAACATTTATTGAGATTTTAAACAATAATAATAGGAGTATCTCATTAATGGTGAGTAATAGTAAGGATCTAGTTAACTTTTTAGATGTGAATATTCATGTGGAAAATTATATTATTAAATGCAGTACACATAATAAACCGGTGGATGTAAATAGTCATATCCAGTATTTTTCCCCATTGTTAATGGGTATCCTGAAGTCCCAGTTTCTGTGGGTTAGAAGAAACTGTACAGACCTGGAGACATTTGTGGACTCAAGATGATCATGTGATCATGCAATGAGTATATATGCTAAACCTAAATTGGAAAAAAGCTATGAACAAATGCTAACGATACAGAGAGATATACTTTTAAATTAAAAGGAAAAAGACACACAGAATAGTAACGTGCCTATATATAAAATTATACACAAAAAAGTTAAATAGGATTTTTAAAAACTGTTGGCCAATACTAAGACAGGACCTGCTGCTATATGAGATTTTATGACATTATCCCAGAATCATCTTCAGAAAAGCTACTTATTTGAAACAATAGTTGGTAAAAAAATATCATATGAAAGAAAAAAAACAAAAAACACCTTCTTAAATGAAAGAAAGGGCTGTTATGGCTGCAGTAGCTGTTTAGCATGTAAAAGTATAGGTAGCAGTAAACGCTACATCACGCATTTTAATGACCTTCATATAAAAATAAAGGTTTTTATAATAAATGCTTTGATTACATGCCACTCTAGGAATGTGATATACCTACTAATATGTCATTACATACTTTATTATGTTGGCTGCACTAAAGTGTTCTACACAAACATATAAAAGAGCATATCGGGAATATTAAAAAGGTTTCAAAATCATAGTGTGTCGCAACATTTTAAAATTGCACCTAATGAGGACCTGGAAGGTACGATAATGGTTTCCTCTTTCCGATATCACAGTGTGTTCAAAGCCTCTTTATAATTGGGACTTGTATAATCTGTGTCTTCCGAGCCTCATTCCAGAAAATTAGTGCCAAGCGTGGGTTCGCCCCTTCCAGATATTCACCTATTTCTGCTTGTATGTTTTTGCGTGTTAGTGTAGAAGAAGGCTGAAAGAGTCAATCCAGGATACCCAGGAACCCTAATGAGTGATCCTCAAAATATGACAATTCATATTTCTAAAGTCATCGTGGCATACTGGCGTACCTCAAGCCACCTCAAAGTGTGCCACAAGCACACTTACTTCTGGTCTGTAGTAACCTGAATAAAGTCTTCAAATATTTTTTTACTTTAAGTATCTTCACTAATGTTAGAATTCCAACTTTGCGTTCACTTTGATATAATAAACTAATTTATTTAGAGTTATGAAAAACCTTCTGGTAAGGTTGCAACACAATTTGTCATTTATATTATAACTAAGCAACTAATGGAGGGGGTTAACATTTTTGTTGTGTCTCGGAAATAGTTCTCTCTTGAATTGTGTCATGGTCCAAAATGCAATGAGAATCCCTGTTCTATATAACTGATGGATGTTCATATATCACTGAATAAAGTTAAAGAATGGGTCTTCAATTTCGATTAAGTTGGTAATAATTGATTTTGGCTATACCACTTAAGTGAGATTTTTTTTGTTGGATGGCCATTACCATAGGATATATCAGGGGTATATTGCTGAGTATACTGCTAGATGATTCAGATTGACAGAAGTACGAATCTGAGAATATGTGTCATCTAATCACTATGACAGGCTGTATGGAAGGAGGCTGAGCAGATTGTCAGTACACACTAGGATTAGTTAGGGTTACAATTATAGGAACTACAGTGTTTAGCTATAAAATATTTTTTATTTATTTTGTTAGTTCAGGGAATTATTTATGAGGACATCGTCAAGATCAGATGTTTGTCTTGCTCAAATCCTTTATGTTAGAAAAATAGCTTAATAGTAGGCAACCTTTGGCACTCCAGATGTTGTGGACTACATCTACCATAATGCTCTTACAGAAATTATGCTGGCAAAGTATCAGGGGAGATATAGTTCACAACCTCTGGAGTGCCAAAGGTTGCCTACTCCTGACCTTAATGTAATGCAAAGAAAAAAAGAAGGCAGGGCTCTATGCTGGTCAGATAACTTTCCATATACATGTTTTGTACATGATGCATGATCACCACCCTCTGCACTCACACTCTAGAAAATAGCGAGTAATGTAGAACAGGTGGACAAAAAACTTGTAAAGCCTTACACAACCTGGACAGCAGCTGCATGAAGAAGCTCGTATCTCCTTACTCTGCATTTGCTCTACTTCAGCAAATGACTCTTTGTAGCAACACGTGGTGGTTGAGCTGCTCCAACTCTGTGGAACTGTCTCCCCCACACAGTCAACAAAGTGTCTTCAATGGAAATATCTTCAAAAAATAATCTTTACTCATTTCCTCTCCCAAGCCTTTGAAGAACACCCACTGGTGGATTATTTTAAATTGAACTTTTACATAAATGTAAAACCATGACATGTTTTGAACCCCTCTAGGAAAAAAGTACTTTGTAAACTATTATTTTAATTCTTATCATCTGTACATTAAAACGATGCATTTGGAAGTCTTCTACCAATTAGACAATGGAACAAGGTGTCTACCAGCATAAGCTAAGCACAATGGCCAGATAAGAATGGACAAATTGGCCTTTTTGTGAAACTTTGGAAAATGCTTTGTATCTTGCCTACTGCAATTCTTCATGTGATCTTGTCCTCTAATCCACCAGAAACGAGTGATTCCAGACAGAAAAGGTGACGTCTTGACTGTAAAAATGGATGGTAATAGTTGAAAAGAAGGTGGTGCCTTCTGAAATGTTGGGGTGAAGAAAGTTGCAATTGAAATATGGAAGGAAGAGATAAAATATGTTGGCGGGCAAATAGACTCGCTGATGCAAAAGACACCTGATGAGATGTGGGGAGGGGCTTAAGACACATGGTGGGAGGCTGTGACATACAATAGTGGCTGAGAGACATGGAGGGTTTGAACAGAGGAAACATCTCTTTGGGCCAAGAGAGATTGACTGAACAGAGCAGCAAGATTTAAATAGATGAGGATAAGGGTCCTCAAAGACTAGCAGACAGTGAAACAAACCCAGAATAGAGACACAAAGATAAAAGACAAAGGGAATAGAGAGAAGAATGGCAGAGATGGGGCTGGATGTACTAATCAATGCTGTACAATAACATAATAGTGATAAAATGCTCAACTCCAATAAATCTCTGGAGCTCTACTGATTTATCAAAAATCAAACAGATTACAAATATTCTGTAAACAAAAGGTTTATATAAACTGGATCCTGTATACATTAACGCGTTTCTTATATAACTGATCTAGGTTAATGAATGGATGTATACGTATTTGAATGGACTTCTAAATAAATGAATGCATTTCAATATAAGTGAACAGTGTTTTATGTAGACACATGGAGTTCTATATCGTCTAAATTAGTTCTTTATTAATGAATGGGTTGATTTGGAATTGAATTGGGTGTATATATACTAAATGTGTATATGTTTAAATGTAATTGAATTCCATAAAAATGAATGTCCGAAATAATCAAATGGAAATATATACAGTATTTCTGTCACTTCAGATTGAATGGAGTGCTTTATTAATTAATGAGGTTATATGTAATTGTTATAAATGTTTGACCTTGTTTACATATAATTGAAGAAGTTATATACGATGAAACGTGGTCAAAGCTAGACTGTTATACACAATGTCATATAATGATCTCCTAATGCTGAGAACCACAGGCTAGACAGTGTTTAAAGTGTGTTCAATTTTTACTCTACCCAATGCACACACAGACCACCCCTGCAGGAAATGCTCTATATCTGCACTTTTAAGCAGAGTCTCTTCCTATAGCATTAACAGCATCTGAGTACGGTGAGTCAAATCCGTACACATCAGTACACAGTATTTTGTTTGTTTGTACATGTATGTGTTTGTGTGTAATTTTATGTGTGTATATGTAAAACAAAGTGTGGGAATTAGTAAAAGAGTTACATTTGTTTACAGGTTGCAAGCATTCATTTATATCCATTAATATTTTTATGCACATGAACAGAGACCTGAGTATAATCAAATTGGATTTATGTATATTCCGAGTTCTGTATACATTTAGCATATAGATGGATGCAGAGCCGCCTGTAAATAATATAATATGTATGTACAAGCTGAGCTGTGGGTATACACTGTAATCTATGTGTACATGCTGAATTGTCTTTGTATACTATAATGTAAGGCTACACACAGAGCTGTTATTTTCCATGTAGAACTGTCTGAGACCAATGTCTTCTGTTAAAATGACAACACCTGTCTGTGTACACAGTGGCATTTTAATGCTAGTATACTCTGTCAGTGTATATAAGGTTTGTGTTAAAGAATAGTTAAACTGTCAGTGTTAGAGTGCTGTGTTAATGCATATATAGGTTGTCAGTGTTTACAGTGCTGTGTTATTATATACAAAGGGTGTCAGTGTACACAATGCAGTATAAATGCATATAAAGAATGTAGCAGTGAATTAATGCAGGGATAGACACACACAAGAAGTGTAACATATTGTCCTCCCCCTGCTCTCTATAGTTTTCCATGGACATTTTTGCATCAGTTTGGATTAATTTGTCATGTTTTTGAAGAAACAAAAATATCATGTATATTTTGTATTGCTATGTATATTATTGTTTTATTATTTACATTTAACGAGAAACTCACGTAGCATTTTTCTTTGAGTTTAAACCGTAATAGAATGCAAATTGCGTTTGTGCATGTAGATCTGTTGATGTATAAAGTACTGTGTTATTTAGAGATGGCAGTGCATATTTCCGACACTGCACACAAACAACCAAAACCCCTGATTCTGAAAAAGCCCACCCTTGACCCTAACTCCCCGTCCAACTATCGCCCTATCTCGCTACTACCACTTGCCTCCAAGATCCTTTAGAGAGTTGTGTATACGAGATTGACAGACTTCCTCGAATCCAACTCTCTGCTTGACTGGCTTCAGTCTGGATTCCACGCTCGTCACTCAGTTGAAATGGCTGTGACCATCACTGCAAAATCCTGTGGCCACTAGTCTATCATAATTCTCCTTGACCTTCCTGCTACATTTGATACTGTTGATCATCAACAGCTTGTTCTCATTCATTCTCTGTAATCTCGGTGTACGAGATACCGCTCTCTCCTTGTGCTCCCAGCGCTCTTTCAGGGATTCTCTGGTTCTTCCTCTTCTCCCCAATCCCTCTCTGTTGGTGTTCCCCAAGGGTCCCTATTGTTCTCAATCTATACGGCCTCCCTTGGTAAACTCTTGGTTTCCACTATGTAGATGACACGCAAATGTATCTGTCCTTCCCTGATTATTCACCAGCTCTCTTGATTCATGTCTCTGACTGCCTTCTGCTATTTCAAACTGGATGGCTGCTCATTTCCTTAAACTTAACCAATCCAAAACAGAACTTCTGATCTTCCCTCCCTCAAGTGTTGTTACTCCCTTGTCTGTTTCCCTCCAAGTCAATGGCGCTACCATCAGCTCTACCTCATAGGCTCACTGCCTAGGTGTTCCCTTTGACTCTGACCTCTCCTTCAACCCTCATATTCAATCAATTGTCAAATGCTGTCGTTTTCATCTCCAAAACATAGCACGCATCCTCCCCTATTTAACGCAGCTAAGGTCCATGCCGCTGTCCTCTCTTGCCTTAAATACTGTAATCAACTTCTCAGTGGTCTTCCATGTTCCCAACTTGCCCCATTACAGTCTACAAAGAATTCGGCAGCGAGGCTCATCTTCCTGTCCGCCTGCACCTCCCACGCCCCACCCCTGTCGGTCCCTACATTGGCTTCTTGTAAGATATTAGATTCAATTTACGATCCTGATACTCGCTTACAAATCTCTAAACAACGTTGCTCTGACATACCCATCCTTTCTAATACTCAAATTTGTCCCGTCTAGCCCCCTATGCTCTGACGAAGACCTACATCTAACCTCTGTTCGTACTCGTACCTCTGATGCTCACCTGAAAGACTCCTCTAGGGTTGAACTGTTGCTATGGAAAGCCCTTGATGCTCACCTTAAAGACTACACTAGGGCTGCACCCTTCATGTGGAATGCCCTTCCCCTCTCTGTTAAACTTTCACCCAGTCTCCACTCCTTCAAAAAATCTTTGAAAAGTTACTTCTTTAGGAAAGCATATCAATTAAACTGTGAACAGCTTTCCCTCCCCGCACCCTGGTTCCTCTCCTGAAACTGTCATCAAAACAAAACACTAAGCCCTTAGTGAATATTATCCTAGCAACCCACTTTTCTACCCTATCATTTGTGTCACTATACCCCACTCCCTCTAGCATGTAAGCTCATTGAGCAGGGCCCTTGCTGACATTGCATGCAGCACTGTGTTATTGTTATATAGAGCTGGAAGTGCATGCAGCGCGGTGTTATTTATATATAGAGCTGGAAGTGCATGCAGCGCGGTGTTATTTATGTATAGAGCTGGCAGTGCATGCAGCGCTGTGTTATTGTTATATAGAGCTGGCAGTGCATGCAGCGCAGTGTTATTGATATATAGAACTGGCAGTGCATGCAGCGCGGTGTTATTGATATATAGAGCTGGCAGTGCATGCAGCGCTGTGTTATTGTTAGAGCTGCCAGTGCATGCAGTGCTGTGTGTTATTAATATACAGAGCTGCCAGTGCATGCAGCGCTGTGTTATTGTTAGAGGTGGAAGTGCATGCAGCACTGCGTTGTTGTTATATAGAACTGGCAGTGCATGCAGTGCTGTGTTATTGTTAGAGCTGGCAGTGCATGCAGTGCTGTGTTATTATTATATAGAGCTGCCAGTGCATGCAGCGTTGTGTTATTGTTAGTTTAGCATGCAGTGCATGCAGTGCTGTGTTATTTATATATAGAGCTGGCAGTGCATGCAGCGCTGTGTTATTGTTAGTTAGTTAATAGTGTCAGTGAATAGTACCTAATTTTTACATGTATTTATTTTTCTTTGAGGATAAGTCCTAATGTGATGGAATTCGTGTTGTTCGTGTAGAACTGATGACACCTAGTGTGCTGCATTCAGGGCCGCCATCAGGGTATGACAACCATGCCAATTGTCATAGGCCCAGCATTGCTAAATATTTGTGCACTGCGTACCCCTGGCTACCTGTTCTCGTGAGCCACTGCCATCAGTACCATGGCAACACTCTGGACAAGTAATGTTCAAATATATTTTTATTTCCATGTAGCCTTAACACACACAGACACACTCTGTATGCAGTACACACACTACATTCACATACTCTACATTCACTACACACACACACTACATCAACTATACACACTCATCAGTCATTATACACACACACTACATGCCTACAAAAAAACACACACTCTGCATTCACTACACACACGCTACATTCACTATACACAAGCTACATTAACTTCACACACTATGCATTCACTACACACATTCTGCATTCACTACACACACACGCTACATTCACTACACACACTCTGCATACACTGCACACACTATACATTAACTACACACATTATGCATTCACTATGCACACATACATACACACACACAAACTCTGCTGTCACTATGCACACTCTGCAGCCACTATGCACACTCTGCAGCCACTATACACACTTGGAAATCACTACACACACTACATTCACTATACACACTCTGCAGTCACTATAGTCACACTACATGCACTACACAAACACACAGTCTGCATCTAGTACACACAAACACTACATACTTACACAAACATACAATCTGCATCCACTATACACACTGCATCCATGACACACACCACATCTACTACACACATTCTACATCCACTATACACATACCACATTCAGTACACACACAGATACTTCATCCTTGAAGGTGGAATCAGGATGGCCACTGTGAGTGGACTCAGGCGCAGGCCCCAGAATTTCTATACACAGGTAGGCAGACAATGTAATAGAGCAGCAGGAAATGCTATCAGAATGCCTGGTTGTATAGGGAGAGGTATTAGCAGTAGAAAGAGGGAAGTGCTCATGCCATTGTACAGAACACTGGTGAGACCTCACTTGGAGTATTGTACACAGTACTGGAGACCGTATCTTCAGAAGGATATTGATACTTTAGAGAGGGTTCAGAGAAGGGCTACTTGACATTTGCACTGTCGTTGTTCGGCATGTGCTATAAACTTTAACTTTAATAATACACGGACACGTTTAATACTGTTGGAGTATAACGTCCACAGCTTTATTAATATGAATAAATTAACATAATTAGGGTCATTGTCATAAATGACATTATTTATTATCCCCCCGCACAATCCCCTGACAACAGGGACGGACTGACAGTGGCCTGGGCCCCCGGGCAAAATTAGCACCTGGGCCCCCAGCAGACCGATATATATGCTGGTATAGGTGTACCGTATATTTGATTGTATGTACATGTAAAGTGAATGCATGTTTCTGTGTGTATATTCACTGTGAGCACTAGGGTAAGTGAATATATGTATGTCTTTATGTGTAGTGTCAGGATATGTGGATGATTAGTATATTTGAATACATGTTTTTGGTTTTGTGAATAGGGTAGTATTTTTTTGTGTGTGTTTGTGTAGCATGGCAGTATGTAAAAGGGGGTATTTGTGAAACCAAGTGTTAAATGTTACGAGCCACCTTAAAGGGACTCTCCAGTGCCAGGAAAACAATCCGTTTTCCTGGCACTGCAGGTCCCCTCTCCCTCCCACCTTCCATCCCCGGTTGCTGAAGGGGTGAAAACCCCTTCAGTGACTTACCAGAGGCAGCGACATGTCCCACGTCGCTGCTTCTTCCTCCGCTCATGCTCCTCCCCTTCATCACGTCAGCCGTCGGGGGAGACCTAATACGCATGCGCGGCAATGCCGCGCAGGCGCATTAGACCTCTGCATAGGAAAGCATTGAAAATGCTTTTCAATGCTTTCCTATGGGAATTTTAGCAACGCTGGAGGTCCTCACACAGCGTGAGGACGTCCAGCGACACTATAGCACAGAAATCCTGTGCTATAGACCAGGAAGTGCCCTCTGGTGGCTGTCTAGTATACAGCCACTAGTGGAAGAGTTAACCCTGCAAGGTAATTATTGCAGTTTATAAAAACTGCAATGACTACACTTGCAGGGTTAAGGGTAGTGGGAGTTGGCACCCAGACCACTCCAATGGGCAGAAGTGGTCTGGGTGCCTGGAGTGTCCCTTTAAAGGAACACTATAGTGTCAGGAATACAAATGTGTATTCCCCCCCTTAAAAATGCGATTTACTCACCTGTTTCCCAGCACCGACCAAACTCCTTGGCAGAGTTCATCAATTTAGATGATCTCAGCCAACCCAATGCTCTACCATAGGAAAGCACTAGAAGGCTATTGTGCACGCGCAGCAAAACGCTGTGCCAATCACCATCATAGAGATGCATTGAATCAGTGCTTCTCTATGACAAGCGTTCAGCGTCGACATGCAGATCATGGAGATGCTGAATGTCAGTGCTGCACATTTTGCAATACTGACACAGGAAGCGCCTAGGTGTTCCTAGGAAGCAATGTAAACACTGCATTTTCTCTGAAAAGGCAGTCTTTACAGCAAAAACCCTGCAGTAGTATACTATCCTCACCAGAACAACTACATTAAGCTATATAATAAACATTAAGCTGTTACTATACATTAAGCTGTATAATATAAATTAAGCTGTAGTTGTTCTGGTAACTATAGTGTCCCTTTATGTTTGTGCGTGCAAAGGGGTAGGGACTGCAGAGGGTGCCGAAAGGAAGGGGCTGTAAAGGGTGCGAGTGGAAGGGGCTGCAGGGGAGGGACTGTAGAGGATACGGGGGAATAGGGTGGATTAGAGGCTGTAGTAGGTGCAGAGGAGGGACAGACTGTAGTGGGTGCAAAGGGTAATAGGAGATGCAGTGGGAGCAGTTGGGTAGCCCACTAGCCACTACCAAAAGCGAAACCCTACTATTGCGCACAGTGCAGGGGTAGGAGCTGCAGTGGGAGCAGCAGGTAAAAGCTGCAGTGGGAGCAGGGAGGTAGGGGCTGCAGAGGGAGCAGGGAGGTAGGGGCTGCAGAGGGAGCAGGGAGGTAGGGGCTGCAGAGGGAGCAGGGAGATAGGAGCTGTAGGGGGTAGGGGCTGTAGGGGGTGTGGGCTGCAGTGGGAGCAGGGGTTGGGGCTGCAGTGGGAGCAGGGGGTTGGGGCTGCAGTGGGAGCAGGGGTAGGGGCTGCAGGGGGGGTAGGGGAGCAGGGGTATGGGATGCAGAGGAGGCGGGGGGTATGAGATGCAGGGGGTGGGGGCTGCAGTGGGAGCAGGGGTGGGGGCTGCAGTGGGAGCAGGGGGTTGGGGATGCACTGGGAGCAGGGGGTAGGGGATGCACTAGGAGCAGGGGGGGTAGGGGATGCACTAGGAGCAGGGGATGATACAGTGGAGCAGGGGGTAGGGGATGCAATGGGGGATAGGGAGGGATGCGGTGGAAGCAGGGGGGGTAGGGGATGCACTGGGGAGCAGGGGGTAGGGATGCACTGGGAGCAGGGGGTAGGGGATGCACTAGGAGCAGGGGATGCAGTGGGAGCAGGGGGTAGGGGGATGCAATGGGGGGATGGGGATGCGGTGGAAGCAGGGGGGTAGGGATGCACTGGGAGCAGGGGGGTGGGGATACTGGGAGCAGGGGGTGAGGATGCACTGGGAGCAGGGGTAGGGGATGCAGTGGGGTAGGGGATGCAGTGGGGAGTGCAGGGATGCACTGGGAGCAGAGTGCAGGGATGCACTGGGAGCAGGGGTGCGAGGATGCACTGGGGAGTAGGGGGGTGCAGTGGGGAGGTAGGGGTGCAGTGGGAGCAGGGGATGCAGTGGGGGCAGGGGATGCAGTGGGAGCAGGAGGGGTAGGGGATGCAGTGGGGAGGGGGTAGGGGATGCAGTGGGAGGGGATGCACTGGGAGCAGGGGGGTGGGGGATGCAGTGGGAGCAAGGGGGGGTAGGAGATGCAGTGGGGGGTAGAAGATGTAGTTGGGGGGTAGGGGTTGCAGTGGGAGGGGGGTAGGGGATGCAGTGGGAGCAGGGAGGTAGGGGACGCACTGGGAGTAAGGGGGGTATGGGCTCTGATGGGGCAGTAGTGGGGGAAATTATATAATAAAACATTTTAATTAAAAAAAAATAATAAAGCCCCCCTCCCAAACCTTACCTCTCTGGTGGTCCTCTTCTGAAGGAGGGCACACAATGCTGACATGCTGCCTGTAAGTCTGCTCAGGGCAGCTCCTCACTCTGCACTGTGACTGCTGATGTCACTTCCTGCAGAACAAGCTGCACGGAGCTGCCCTGAGCAGTTACAGGCAGCTCAGTGAGGCTGTGTTTGGAGACAGGCACACAGAGGGGCAGCCTAGTGGGGTCTTTGGAAGGCCCCTTAGCTGTCCCTCAGTGTGCCCTGCAAGGGGGATTATATTTTTAGCAGTAGGGGCCCGCGGAAGGCTGTGCGGGCCCCTTACTGAGTGCAGGCTGGCTGGGGAGATTGTTTAACTCCCCAGCTCAGCCATTACTGCACTGCAGCAGGGGCGGGCCCCCCAGAGCCTCGGGCCCTCGGTCCATGACCGATTTGCCCGAGTGCTCAGTCCGCCCCTGCCTGACAATGACCCTACCACATGAACAATAATTAACATCAATTACCAATAAACTTGTAAACATCCGGCCTACCAACGAGGCCCCATATCATAATGATAACTGTAGGGGTGTACCCAGACACCCCCACACCCCCAGGTTCGTCGCCACCGAAGAGCTATAACCTACCAACCATGACACCGTCTGGCCTACTTCAGCCTAGGCCCTGGCCTGTACAGTTCCAATTCCTTGATAACTTCCAACTTAACCACGCCCTGTTCCCGCCGCTGTGACAAAACGGGAAATTCACCTCAACACAGGGAGGGTGGGTGGGACAACTGACAGGTAAGTGAAGTTCTGATTAAAATGGCCACTCTCTAAGATGGCCGTTATTTCAACCCCCTTTGATCCCGCCCCCAAGCTCCATTAGCTTAAGCCAACCCCTAACTGACTGCACCTGCCCACTCCTGGCTCTGTCAAGGCCCACTCCCCTTACTTCGTTGTTCCATGGGCTTCATGACATTTGCACTGTCGTTGTTCGGCATGTGCTATAAACTTTAACTTTAATAATACACGGACACGTTTAATACTGTTGGAGTATAACGTCCACAGCTTTATTAATATGAATAAATTAACATATTTAGGGTCATTGTCATAAATGACATTATTTATTATCCCCCTGCACAATCCCCTGACAATGACCCTACCACATGAACAATAATTAACATCAATTACCAATAAACTTGTAAACATCCGGCCTACCAACGAGGCCCCATATCATAATGATAACTGTAGGGGTGTACCCAGACACCCCCACACCCCCAGGTTCGTCGCCACCGAAGAGCTAGAACCTACCAACCATGACACCGTCTGGCCTACTTCAGCCTAGGCCCTGGCCTGTACAGTTCCAATTCCTTGATAACTTCCAACTTAACCACGCCCTGTTCTGCCACAGCACTTGTCTTGACCCCTTAAGACCATGTGCGACCCCCACCACACTGAAACAGGGCTCGGGCTATGCCCTCCTGGAACCCCAAGTTCAGCAAGTCACACCCCACCTCTGACAGGTGTACTCCATCCCTCCTATAATAACCTGGCAACATGCCCTCCAGTTCCCGATGCCTCACCACTATTCCCCCCATCCTCTTAACAAATACTGCCATAGCTCTATTAACCTTCCCCCTGCATCGTGCCACCGCAGCAGGGTCCCTGGCGTGACGCCATGTAAAACGAGGCACCATCTCGGACCACACCACCACCACGTCAGGGACCAGCTCCCGTAGCTGATCCATGTCCCTCTTCATTCGCCGCAACAGTTCCCGTTGCGGAATCAGCCCTAAGTCATTCCCCCCACCGTGCACCACTACAACATCCGGAACCGGACCCTTTGACACTTTTGTAAATAAAACATTACTCAAGCTCTGCCAACTAAAACCTCGAAAACCAAACCAGGATAAGACCGCCCGTTCCAGAGGAAAGCCCAGTTGTGTTCCTTGTCTCCGAACTGCGGCCCTCTTCTGTGCCCAATATACGAACGAGTGTCCCAGCAACCAAACATTCCAACCTGAAAAGAGACAAAATTAGTTACACCGCAGAGCCAGTGTCCCCCAGTCCCGGCCATTTAACCCCTCAAAGCTCCACCATCCCGTCGGGCCTCACATACGAGCGAAACCGCACGGATTCCCACCGTCCGATCCTCTTGATCCGCTCGTCACCCAAACCCAAGCGTGCCGCCTCTGTAGCCGCACCGATACGGAACGAATGCGACCCGAATTGCGTGGGCTGCAGGCCTAGCTTCACTAAGCCCAAACGAAAAATCCTAATGAATTGAAACCGTGACAGCGCCGTGCCGTCAGCGTGCAGGAAAAAACAACCGCTAACGTTAGGACGGATCCCCAGGTACCCTGATCCGCAGGCCACCGGGCACAACCCTGACCCCGGCAACTCGAATAGCACCACGGAGCAGCCTTTGCCGAAAACATCAGTTTTCGATTGGCCCAACCTAATCTGCACGCGATCACTCTTAACTTCCACATCCTCGCGCTGCAAGCCACCAACTCCCACTTTGTTTGCGCTAACCAGCTCCCCGATCCGAAACGCCCTGAAAAACGCCCAGACAAACGCACCAGAAAAAAGGACCACCTCAAATGGCGAGGAACATAACTCCGGTAACTTTCCCACCAAACCTTGTAAGACCGCAAAAGACACCGGTCTCCTAACGTCCGTCGACGTCTTCCCCCTCCGAAAACCCCGAACCGCCTGTCGAACCAAGAAATGCTTTGTCAAATCTTCCCACCCTTGAAATTTAAACCAGAAAGCCAAGGCGGACATATGCCTGTCCACCATGGCCGGCGAAGCCCCCTTTGCAAACAACCGGCACAACAACCATAGGAAGACATCCAGCCTATGGCCCTCCGAAAGGTCCCCACCTACCTCCTCAACCGTTTCCTCCCATTCCTTCCAAACCTTAGCATAAGATGACCACGTGCTCGGTGCCAAAGATTTCTTTATGTATTCCCCAAGCACGATGTCCCGAGTCGCCACATCTCGTCTGGGCAAGCCTGCCCGCATTCCCGTGCCTCTGGAGCCGCTTCCCGAAAACGATCCCACTGAAAACGAGAAAGCGCATCAGCCACCACATTTGAGAATCCCGGAATGTGCCTAGCCCTGAATACTAAATTGGAAGACATGCAGAGGAGCACCAAATGCCGCAGTAGGCATAGGACCGGAAGCGAAGATGCCGACAAACTGTTGATTGCCTGCACCACGGCCATATTGTCCGAATAAAACACGACTCGCTTGTTTGCTAGTTCAGCTCCCCACAATGCTACCGCAACCACTACAGGGAAGAGTTCCAAAAATGCCAGATTCTTGATCAATGGGCTCGCCCTCCATGCCTCGGGCCATGCCTCGGCACACCACCGTCCCGCAAAATAAGCCCCGAACCCCACGCTGCCCGAAGCGTCCGTAAACAGCCCCACTGCTTCCGAAGACACCACTTGCTCCCGAAAAAAGGCCTTGCCATTGAAGTCCCTCAAAAAACGATCCCACACCTCTAAGTCCGCCTTCATGTCCGCGGAAACCCTGATATAGTGTGACGGCATCCGTATCCCGCTCGTCGCCCGCGCCAATCGTCTACAGAAAACCCTCCCCATGGGTATGACCCTGCACGCAAAGTTCAGGCTCCCTACCAGAGACTGTAATCCCCTCAGCGTCACCCTCCGTGCTCTCCCAATTGTGTGCACCAAGTCTTTCAGCTTGTGCAACTTGTCCTGTGGTAATCTACATTCCCCGATCTCCGAATCGATCTCCAAACCCAGAAACTAAGACATGTGGCGGGTCCAACGGTCTTGTCCTCCGCCAAAGGAACCCCCATCGTCTGCGCTACCCATTGGAACACCCGTAGTATCTGCTTGCACCGGTCTGAGCCTCGAGGGCCGACACATAAGAAGTCGTCCAGGTAATGCACAACCGTGCCCCCGGCCGATTCCCGTCGCACTACCCATTCCAGAAAAGTGCTAAACTTCTCGAAATAGGCGCACGAGATGGAACAACCCATCGGCAAGCACAGATCCACAAAGAAACCCCCTTCAAAACAACACCCCAAGAGGTGATGACATGATGGGTGTATGGGAAGCAGCCGAAACGCTGCCTCCACGTCCACCTTCGCCATCAGCGCTCCCCGCCCAGCTCTCCGTACCAACTCGACTGCCCTGTCGAATGATGTGTAAGATACTGAACAGAGTGCTGCGTCGATGTCATCATTCACCGATGACCCTTTAGGATACGATAAATGATGAATCAACCTAAACTTGCCAGCCTCTTTTTTGGGGACCACTCCAAGTGGGGATATCCGCAATTCCGCTATAGGAGGATACGGGAACGGCCCCGCCATCCTCCCCAAAAGGACCTCTTTGGCCAGCTTTTCCCGCACTACCTCCGGGCGTTCCCGCACCGATTTAAGATTGGCACAAACCGCCCCTGGTTCCTTAACCGTGAAGGGGATCACGAAGCCCTCCCTAAAACCCCGCCACAGGAACGCTGCATCCTCCTGGTTAGCGTATTGCCTTAGCCAAGGCAACATCGCGCCTAACCTCACTGGGGACGCCCCCATCTTTTCTTTGACCTCTAATTTCAGGTGACAACCTAGGGGGCCCGCAAAAGATACGTGTACGTTTTGACGTGCCGCGTCCGAAATGTCGCCACACCCGACCGCCGACTCAGCCCCCCCATCCGCCGCACCGGACGCCACTACCGCTTCACTTACCTCGCCTCCGCTCGCCGGTTGGACCCCCGCCCCTATTGCCTTAACCGCTGTGTCAGGGGACCATACCTTTCCGAACTGCAACGGTGATTCCCCCTTCCCTGACCATGCCTCCAATAGTGTTTTTAAATAGCCCAATAACTGTCCGGAGTGTTGTGCAGATATGGACTCACCGTTGGAGACCCCGGCCGTGCCAGGCTCCGGGGTTGCCGACCTTCCGTCCACCCGTTCAGGCTCCGGAGCATCCGGTTGACGCCGACTCCCATCCGCCTGATCCCTCCTCAGGACTGTAGGGGTAGCGCTCCGCGACCTGTAAGGAGAAGACAACCTGGGTAGTCTGTACTGCTGGGCCCCTACCCGTCCTTCCTCCCTACGCTCTTCTCCGCAATTCCAAGCTTCGCACCGCCTTGCCGGCCTAGCTTCCCTGCTCCTGGGGGCCCGCTGCCGTCCTAGCGCACTGTCACCCGAGGACCCAGATGCGCTGCGCCGCCTCCGCCCCCGCCCGTCCTTGGACGCGGACCTCCTTCTCCCCGCCCTGCAGCTGGTCCTGGAACCACTGCGCCTGCTATGCGATGGACTCCTGTCCCTGCTCCACTGCCGATCAGCTGACCTCCTGCTGCTGCCGGGCCTGGCGCTACCGCTGTGCCGCTCCCGTCTGTACTCCTCCCGCTCCCTGGTCCCGCTGCGGTGCCCCCCGTGAGAGCAGCCTGAGGGGCCCAACCTTCCACTGCTACTGCTCCTGACTTCCCTATCCCGCGCTGTACTGCGTGTGTCCCCTTTCTCCGCTGTACCTGGCCATCTGTTGGCCGCTGCGCCTGGCTCAGATGCCCTTTGTACCCCCTGGCAGCCCGCTGGAACCTCTGCCGCTCCCTGTCCGATCCTGCCGTCTTCCTGCCGCCCCTCCTCCCTATGCCTGGCACTGTCGCCCGTCCCGGCCACACCTAAGGCCGCCCGCGAGCTGGTCCCGCTGACCAGGCCACCCCTGGGTTGCTGGGGGGCCGCCTGCGCTGGAACATCCCGCGTCCCGCCCGCCACCATGCCCCTCAGTGACCAGAGTGAAGTGCTGCCGACCACGTGTTCCTCCGCTCTCCCGGCCGCCATTCCCGCCGTGCTGGAGCCCTCCTCTGGGGTACCTGTGCTGCCTGCCGCCATCTTGGGTGGGGCGCGTTTACCAGCAGGCCCGCGCTTTGCGGCCGTCCTCGCCTGACCGGCACCGCGGCGCACAGGCAGCGCCGGCCGCTTCCCGGTGCTGTCCGACCCTCTTGCCTCCTGGCTGGGTGCCGACGGGCTCCTCCTCCGCCGCCGTGGAGCGGGCGCCATGCCCGTACTCAAGCGCTGGGGCGGCCGTGCTCTTCGCGCCATCCTGCGCTCCACTTGTGCTGGAGGGGGAACTGCAGCCCCCAGTTGTTCATGCAGCCAGGCCAGCCCTCGGTCCTTCACTGCTGCTCTCACTCCGGCCAGGATCTCATCCAGGGAAGCCATGGACCTGCAGCAAAAGAAAAAAGAAAAACCCCACAGACCTGACACAACTGACAGGTAAGTGAAGTTCTGATTAAAATGGCCACTCTCTAAGATGGCCGTTATTTCAACCCCCTTTGATCCCGCCCCCAAGCTCCATTAGCTTAAGCCAACCCCTAACTGAATGCACCTGCCCACTCCTGGCTCTGTCAAGGCCCACTCCCCTTACTTCGTTGTTCCATGGGCTTCAAAACTGGTTCATGGATTGCAGGATAAAACTTACCAGGAAAGGTTAAAGGATCTTAACATGTATAGCTTGGAGGAAAGACGAGACATGGGGGATATGATAGAAACATTTAAATATATAAAGGGAATCAACACAGTAACGGAGGAGACTATATTTAAAAGAAGAAAAACTACCACATCAAAGAGGGACAAAGGTTTAAAAATAATATCAGGAAGTATTACTTTACTGAGAGGGTAGTGGATGCATGGAATAGCCTTCCAGCTGAAGTGGTAGAGGTTAACACAGTAAAGGAGTTTAAGCATGCGTGGGATAGGCATAAGGCTATCCTAACTATAAGATAAGACTAGGGACTAGTGAAAGTATTTAGAAAATTGGGCAGACTAGATGGGCTGAATGGTTCTTATCTGCCGTCACATTCTATGTTTCTATGTTTCCATGTTTCTGATGCACTATTGCTATTGCTAAAGAGAGCTTGTAGTGCATACAGTGCTGTATTAATTTTAATGAGGGCTAGAAGTATGTACAATGCTGTATTATTGTTATTTAGACCTGACAATCCGCTTATTTACATAGAGACATACAGATTCAGCAGTGCGCACAGTACAGTTACACAGAGCCAGCAGGGTATACAGTGCTATACTATTACAGAGAACCAGTAGTGCACACAGTGCTATACTATTACATAAAACCAGCATTGTACACAGTGCCATATTCTGTTATGCAGAGCTGGCAGTGCACACAGTGCTGTATTCTGTTATGCAGAGCTGGCAGTGCACACAGTGCTGTATTCTGTTATTTAGAACATGCAATATTTGCACTAGTTTACTGTTTTTTATAATGGGAGTACTGTGAGGGAGCAGGGCTAATCAGAACCTTTTCTAGACCTTGATCTAGTCCCAACTAACTAACTCTATTTTCTCTTGCACCCCAGCACGACCTCACTGAATTCGGATCCCTCCTGTTCTCTAGTGAGCTGTACCTGTGTCAGAGAACAGGAACGGGACATATTGCAGCTTCCAATGTCGAACAACAGCAGCGGCCAGATTTATGTCAATAACGCAGTCTTCATCTCTGGCTACTCCATCATCTTGGGCCTGGGGTTTTTCCTTAACTTTGCTGCCCTCTGCTTTTTCTATCGCCTCCCACAGTTAAGGTCACCCACCCATGTCTACATGAAAAACTTGGCCTTTGCGGATATTCTCTTGGTTTGCACCCTCCCTCTGAAGATCTATGATTACACAGAGACTCAACCAACTTTGCCGTCATGGTTATGTAAAGTTGTTGGAACTCTGTTCCTCTTAAACATGTATGGAAGCATCTTCCTCTTGGCTTGCATCAGCATGGACCGTTGTTTGGCTGTCTGTTTCCCTCTCCGCTCCAAAAGCTTCCGTCATCACGCTCCCTGGATCTGTGCCAGTGCTTGGGGCCTTAATATAATATCAGGCTCAATAGTATATCACTTTTCAAATACAGGGACTTCTAACAGCACTTCAAACAACTGTTGCTTTCATATGAGCCCATTTTTGGTGACTAAGACAGGTGCCACTGTACTATCTGTGGTAATTGGTTTTATGGTTCCTCTAGGTATAATGGCTGTGAGTTCCTGGGCCCTACTGAGGGCAGTTGGTCATAGCCAGTTAGTCCAAATCGGAGTGGTGAACAAAGAGAAGATTGTACGTATGTTGGTTACCAATCTGACCATTTTCCTTCTCTGCTTTCTACCTTACCATGTCATCCTTCTCTGTTACCAGTTTTTGAAAACTGGTCTGTTTAATTATTACCAGATCACACTTCTGATTGCCTGCAGCAATGCGGTGCTGGACCCGATAGCTTATTACTTTGCTGCAGAGACAATACAAAGGACAGTGGTGAAGGAGATGAGGTTAGTTGGAGAGTCTGATGCTTCAGCAGAAAAGTTGAGAAGTTCAGCCTCTTTGCCTCCTAAGGGCTCATGATCCAAGAACAAGTGAAAATAATC